CTTCGATCAGCACACATTTGGGGATTGGCTCTTCAAACTCCAAATCCTTGGAGGGAGACTTGGGGGGAGTGGGTGTGCCACCTTGGCCCTCTTCAAACCACTCCATCTCGCTGCTCGGGTCTTGGGCAAACCACTCTGGAGTCTTGGCAGATGTCTTGGGTGGTGGGGTTGATGGGCACTCAACTTCTCCCCCAACATCTTCCTCAACATCTTCCCCAACATCTTCCCCAATATCCCCAACGTCATCCATGACGTCTTCTCCAACATTTTCCTCAACATCTTCCCCAACCAGTGTTTTGGGATCCGTATGCTCCTCTGAACTTCCCGCCCCATCCTCGGAATCGGAAGCAATGTCCTCAAGCGGAACCATCTCCTCTGGCTCTTCCATGTCATCCCCACCAGAAGGCTCTGCAGGTTCACAGACTGGCTCCTGAACAGGGAGATGGACAACATATTTCACATATAAAATCAGAGATCAAACGGACCTAAAGATATCTTAAGTACATTTGGAAGATACATAACTCATATAGTATAACATAAGAGCACCCTATCTCTCCTTCTCTTCAGGGTCAAACACTAGGGCCATGAGCTTTCGAAAGGTCTTGTTGCGGCAAAGCTGATCCCTGTTGAGCTTTTTTTTGATCAACACACAGAAAGCCTTTGCCAGCTTGGCCTCTTTCCTCAGCTCTCTGGGACCTGGAAGCGGGATCTTCATCTTCTCGTAAAGCGCTTTGATCCTTGGGATGATGATTTGGGGTGCTGCAGGTAGTTGCTGGGTGGTGTTTCTGCAACTCCAAACAAGTAACAACAAACGCACACAAAAAATGTTTCAAGGAAGTGGAAACAATACCAAACATAAATGAAAAAACTACTTGTGAATTTTTGGTCAAAGCTCTGCGTCAAGACATGTGGAACCTTGATTTGACCCACCGTGCCATCAGGCATGCGAAGCCTTTTGGCTAAGGGTTTGAGAACCTCAAAGTTCCGCTCAGCGCACTTGATAGTAGAGGAAGGTTCATTGGTACGTGCTTCACATGCGAACAGGCATCTTCTCACCCGCATATGTTCCCTGACCATTTCTGAGGCATCCCACTCTTGGAATACATCTTTTAGGGATGGCACATTCATTGCAAGGCAAAGCCAAAGAAAGGAGCCAACAAAAGATTGGGTACTGCCACTTGGACCTAAATGGTGGCAGTCGGCGGTCATTGTGGTCGGGGATGGTCCAGAAAACTACATGCATTGGAATGCAAAGATCGTGCGACATATGTTTTGTCAAAACAAATGCATTTTGAGATTTTGACATATAAGTAATATCAACCAAAGGCCTGACTTCAATACAGGCCTCTCACTAGATTTGATGATCCAATAACTACATCCGGGGTTCAGATTCAAGATTCCAATTGCTCTGGGTGATGTGCACCAATTTGTTGAAGCATCTTGGGATTCAATGAGATTAAAAATGATAATTATATTTAAACAATAATTTTCCCAAAGCACATCACCCAAAGCTTTGGAACCTTTCTTGCAAATGGGCCCTTTCCCAAGCCGCTTCCCAGGTCCAGGCCTTCATTGCGGCCCAAGACATCTTCCGCTTCATTGGAAAACAATTGAAAACAAACGCTGCCAATGGAGGGCGGCGATGGATGGATGTGGTTCGATGGTAATGTAGTAAGCCTGACCCCAAATATTGATCTATCTTCCAACTATTTCCAACTTATAGGACCTTAGATAGATTGAAATGGTAGTTTAAACAATTACTCAGGGATAAAACATGGATCCAAGGGTTTATGATAGTATTTACTTAGGGATTATCATGATAGTAGCATGTGGAAGTATTCAAAATACGTCCCTTTGCAAAACACGCCCCTGGGCCCAAAAGAAACTCTTTTGAGGCTAGGAATGTATTTATAAAAGGGTATCTAAATATAGCTATCCCCTGGGTTCAGGGTATATATATAATACATATATTATATATTTATATACAGAACAGGGGATCACCAGAGTGCGCTTTTTGCACTCCTCTTTGCACATTCTCTGTTTTGACATATGCATTGACTGACAAGAAAACAAGCAAACGACAAGACTCAACTCTCTGCATCCTTCCCTTGGGGCATGCAAAACTGCAAACAAATGACAAGACTCAACTCTCTGCATCCTTCCCTTGAGGCATGCAAAACTGCAAACAAATGACAAGACTCAACTCTCTGCATCCTTCCCTTGGGGCATGCAAAGCTGCAAACAAAAACCAAAAAAAAAGAAGCAACCCTATGTCTGAGGCACTCTGGCCCAGTAGGTCTTCTTGGTTTTCTTGGTTTTCTTTTTTTTTTTGTTTTTTTTTTGTTTTGCTGACCTTTGACCTACTCGATCTTCTTTTGGCTCTTAGTCAAATTTTGCAAAACCGGTCTGCATCCTTGCCTGTCTGTGTCCTGATGGATGTGGAGGGGGATAACATGCGCCTAGCAGATGCCATGTCTGCTACGGAACATTTGCTTCTCCGTGAACTTCCGACTCATGTTCACGTAGGGCGGTTTTCTGGGGAGGAAACCTTGTTTTTTATGTTCTAGAAGAGGAAGGCCTTATTTCCCATTTTCTGGAGGTGGTGGCTCTGTTTGTGTAGTTTTCTTCTGACCAAGGAATACCACCCTCTTTTCAAAGGAATGAACAAATAAAATTATATTGCATCCTTTTCAAGGAAACTTGCATAAAGGCATGCTGCACTGTCCTCAAGGAATGCCATGGTCCCTTAAAGTGCAACTGCTTCTTCAAGAATACCCTTTCAAAATAACCTCTTTTCAAAGGAATGAACGAATATATTGCATCCTTTTCAGGGAAACTTGCATAAAGGCATGCTGCACTGTCCTCAAGGAATACCATGGTCCCTTAAAGTGCAACTGCTTATTCGAGAATACCCTTTCCAAATAAGGCTATACTTTCTGCAAGGAATATTATACTTCTTCACATGACATGTCCATGCATTGCGCTTTCTTACGGAAACATCACCCTCTTCTTGCAAAACATTCCATATCTCTCTTGGATGTAGGGAGCTCTGTCAGGAAGATGCAGTATTGCTTGAGGACAAAATGAAATCTTCTGTCAATCAAATTCCTCTTGTTCACGCTTGCTATAAAGACATGCAACATAGAAGCAAACACAACTCTATCATTTGAGCATGGCACAACCGGGCAAAATTGAAATTTCTCTCTGATATTCATTGGCTCAATACAATACAATATTTCATAGCAAAACTGGCTGTATTTTGGCATATTTCTACCAAATTAAATGGTCTCAGCTGTTTGGCGGGTTTGCTTTCAGGTCCTTGTAGTTTCTTGTTGCCTGATGTGCAAACTTGGATATGTACCGTACACACACAAGACTTGAAGCCAACAGTTCTTCCACAATACATAGATGAAATGAGATCTCGAAGCAGCATGGCTAAAAAAAACGCACTCTCACAGTCCCCTGCTCTCTTTATATAATACATACACATACTGTATGTGTATAGCATTGTAAACCAACTTACAACTGAGGGGGCTCTTCCTGATGGTTGGTTCATGGCAGATTGGACATGTTGATGCGTCCGCTTCGCAGTGTGTTGTTGTACAGGGTCATACTGTAGGTTTTAGCTTTCTCCATATTCATTTTTTGGTCCATGTGTCGGTCAAACATCCAGTTGATGCAGCATCTCATGGTTGCAGGAAAGGGCCTCCCTAGTTAGAAGTTGCTTTATGTTACCCCATCTGGTGGTTTCCAGAAATGGGGGTAGCCCAAAATGGATGGAAACCCTATTTGAAAAAAAGAGGATTTGGGGGTACCCCATTTTAGGATTTAGGAAACTTCTACCTAACTATACCATACGTAGATATGTTCACCATAAGTTCTAGTTAGCCTAGTTACCTAGTTGTAAATCAGCTTACCTACGTAGGCGGGCCCCCTTCGTGTGGTTGTGAATTTATGGTGGATATCATTGACCTTGGCATGTCTACAGTTGAGCGGTTGAAACTAAAGCAACGGACATGTGGGGCCCGACTTTGTATGTGTAGTTGACATTGGTGTCAACAGCTGCTACTAGCTTATGTCAGTCCATACAACCCAACAAACAAGTAGTGGAGCAAAGATCATTCACCCAGAAATGACACAAATCACACATTTCCTCTTGAGTAAACCCATGTAGCTGTCTCCTTTCCACCCAGAGCAAACCCTGGGAACTTCGGAGATAATGACTGGAGCACCTCTAACTTCACACAAATTCAATATCAATTCCCACCCTTCAATATCAATTTCAATATTATTTAAATATTTATATATATATATATAAATATATAGTTTTTATGTTTTTGAAAAATGTATATATATATATATAATATATAATATATGATACAGGTATTTGAGTACCTAGCAAAAGGTGGATTGTTGGTTATCAATGAATCTTAGCTCATTTTCTGGTGATTACCTGTTCCATCAACTCTTTGGGTACACCATAAATCCATGGATTTACTTTATCCAACACGTCACGTGTAACTCATAGACCAACTGAGCTAACCATGTTTCTTGGTCATTGGTTTTCATGTACCTATGAAAGATATTCCATGACTTTCCATGATATTCCATCCTATTTTCATATTCCGAATTCGTTTTTTTCATGTGGAGTTACCCGTTACCCTCTGGTAAATTAACATAGACCCTGGCAGTCATCGGGCTTGGAAGACTAGTTTCCATGAAAAATTGGTGATTTTCAGGCTCGAACTGTTCATTTACCAGGAAAATCACCATTTTTAATGGGAAAACTCACTATAAATGGCAATTTTCAATTAGCTTTTTGTATGTTTACCAGAGGGTAAATTGTGCATTTTTTCCATTAAGGCATGTTTGATTTCAGGATTGCACCTTCAAAATTCCATTAAACATGGGTGATTTTCAGGGTCTATGTCTGTTAATTATGTTCATTTACCAGAGGGTAACTCCACCCAACCAATTGGTTTTTCCAGCTATCGCTCCAGGTCCATAGCGTCATGGACGATCCGCTCCTGGGCAGCCCGGCGCGCTCCGCCGTGGTGACCGCCATGCTGCCCGGAGCGCAGGCGCAGCTGGGATGGCGGGGTTCGGGGGGGGATCCAGGAGCTCAACGGGACACGGTAACGAGACATGGGAACCATGGAAAATATGGGTTTATTCTATGGGAATATCATGGGATATATCATGTCAGCTATAAGAATATGGAATATTATGGAATATCATTATGATCCAATCCGATATAGTTGTTTTATTTTGTTTGCGGGGATACGCAGTACTAGATCTCGTTGGGTTTGTGACATGTGGATTTGGTTCATGCCGAATGACACACCCACAATGTTAATTTTTGCGAAGTTTTCGATTTGGGGTACCCACATGCATGCCTGCGTTGTGATATGTTATGACAGTGGATCTTAACCTCATTTCAATGGATTGGTTTAAGGGAAAATTTGCAGGAAACCATGGATTTCCCCATTAAATATGTTTTTTTCCTGTAAATTTTCCCTTAAACCAATCCATTGATCATTGGGTTGATGTAACTGTCATAACATCAAGAGTCATCTGTGGTTTTATCATTATCAGGGCCTACCTGCTGGTTTCACCTAGTTATCCTACGAGTAGTAGGATGTGGGGCGATGAGCATCCGAGCAGTGATTGGGAAGCGGCATGATGAATGAGGAAGTTGGGGCCCAGAACGTCAATTGGAGCGAAAAAAAAAACTGTCAGGGAACATTTCAACGTTTAATCTTTGGGGTACTTGACAATTTTTTCCGAGATTGTTCTTTTTTGTTTTCCGGCCCGAACTGGTTGATACATGCGGGGGTTCCCAAATCAGTTTGGCCCAGTGTCCAGTCCCCACTTCCGTGAGGTGGTGTATTTGGTCTTCAAAGGCTCATCCTTTATGATGCCTGGCAGGTTTTTTGTTTGCGCTGGGTGAGTGGAATACTGCCAGAAACCTCCACTTTTCTGATCCACACAACCTGCATGTCCACATTGCTCAGATGCACAATTCAAGACCCGGGAAACCCCAACAAGACATGTTGATAATTTTCCATCAGAAATCCAAATTTAGCGATACCCAACTTGACCCTGTTATTTATTCATATTTACATATTTGTTTATGATAAACATACACACGTGATTTTGCTGAATAGTCCCATATTTGGCCCAATGTGCAAAGAGGGCCCCCGATGGATAACATATGTTTGTTTCACCCATCCAACTGTATGTTACAGATATATCCACCATCAATACAACAGGTCAACAGGTAGTGTACTGAAAAATCAAACTAAAATTGTGATTAGTTGATTATATATATATATATACAGTTATATATACATATCGATTCTTGCTGGTTAAACAGTGCTGAATCCGCATTTTCAGTAGCCACAATCTTATGACGCAAAATGCTTCATTTATTGGAAACCAGCACATAATTAAAAAACGAACCAAAAAAACAAACCAAAAAAACACACCCATGTTGTTTTTTTTTGGGGATTGTTTTTTTTGGGGGGGTTGGCATGTTTTTTTTTGTTGTTTGTTTGTTTTTTTTCATATATAATATTAATTGTTTTCCATTTCCAATGAATGAAGGTCTCTCGACGTCACAGCCATGATCATAGTTCATCCCAGTTTCTGGTGGTTGTTTACACCCAACAAATTGATGCGTTGAAACCCATTAAATAGAATACAAAATCCCAAGTCTTGGTAATCCCCAGTCAATTTATATAAAACCACTACAGTAAGTCCAATATAAATTTTGAGTGTACTGTAAATCCCTTAAATATCCTTAGATCAAGGTAGGTGGCCCCAGATGAAATGGAGGTTTTCCAAAAATAGGGCTACTCCATCATCCATGTGATTTTCGGACACATGAAATCAATTGAAATCAACCCAGATCCATCCAGTTGTGGTATAGCCTACCCATGACACGTCGGAGCCATGACTTCGCCATCCCCAGGAACGACTTCGTGGCCAATGCATCGGTGAGCCCCGACTACACGCCCTTTGATGCCACCTTTCAGGATCGGACCACCTTCATCCACCACGGCGCCTATCATGCAGCTTGGGACGGTTGAACAGATGGAACTGGAACTGGTTGGGTACCCGAATCCCGGTGAGATCTTAAAAAAGATGTGGAAAAACCCAGGGGAAAAGCGCCTTGGAAAGTGATCTACTTTTCGTGATGTTTAATCCGTATCTATATGTTAGTTTAGCCCTATGGGGATAAATACTAAGCAGCTGTTGTTTTATTTGCATGGTATTCAATATTTTTCATGATTGTTAGTACCCAAACTGTTGGTTGGCTTAGCACCATTTGGTTGGATGGGGTTTCTGATTTCTTTTGGAAAACCGTTATAGGAATACCTATTAACCAACCAATATAATCCTGGATGGTGGTTTCAAACATCTTTTATTTTCCATAATATACGGGATAATCCTTCCCATTGACTGATATGTTTCAAAATTGTTAAAACCACCAACCAGAATCCTGGTCCCGGAAGCAACACTTTGCACGCTTTCCAGGGACAGAACGGCTGTTCTGTTGGTTTTGTGACAGGTCTGAAATTTCCGGATGATTCAGATGATCGGTTATGATCCAAAAATGTCTTCTCATAAAACGAGGTCATAACTTATTAACCTCATAATTCATCTTTGGGTCATGATGATTTTCATGTCTGGATGTGGCCCAGCCTATTTGTGGTTCAATTGGATTGGGATGTAAGCAGCCTGGTTCTCCAGGGTTTTGGCCATCCCCAAGAATGGCTCTGTCTCACAACGTGGGATTGGCCAAAATCTATTGGATTTGTCAATGAACTATGATGATAGTATATGATCATATAAGCATATCTATATAATTTACTAAGCCACAGGAGTTTGTCTTTTCCCAAGTTTATCCCAGTGATCCCAGGAATCTTTTTTTTGTTTCGCAAATTTGGAGGAAAACCCCAGGTCTAAGGTGGTAAAGCTGTCGTTTCCCGTAAAAAATCCAGGCCACAGCGCAACTGCGAGTGCAGCAGTGGCCAGCCTTACAGGACACGGGAATCCACGGGCTGGGACCTTTGGGATCGGTTTTTGTGGGGATCGGGTTGGCGCCATACATAGCTGGTTGGTGGTGACTGGAACCATGGGAAAACCATGGGAAAACCATGGGAAAACCATAGGATCTGGTTGGTGGTGACTGGAACATGACTGGATGACATGACTTTCCCATCATATTGGGGTCATGTCATCATCCCAACTGACGAACTCATATTTTTCAGAGGGCTAGGTGAACCACCAACCAGATAGGATGACAGGGATATGATAGATTAGCCACAAGTCAGCAACAAAAACCATCATGGAACTGAGAACATCTTTGATCATCAGGGAGGACAAGTCACAAGAGTAGAAACTATAAATCCTAGCTTTGGGGTCGAACAGGGTCCCAGCTCTGCCCGGTTGCCAGTGGGTGACAAACACCTTTTTACCCTTTGGCAATCACACATGGGAGTGGTGGTCAACGACCCATTTCGCTTTGTCATGGCTTGTCTCAAATGGGGAGACCTTGATTTGTGGCACTTTTTAACATCTTTTCACGGGAAAACAATGAGCAGTCACCCTAAGGGCAACGGGATTGCAAGATCCTGACGGACCTGCCTGAAAACAGAAGATCAGACAGGAACAGCTGGAGCGATGTGTACAAGATGGTGCTGCTCGATTGCAACTTTTGCCCTCAGGAGCAATGACCAGTAGAACCCTTCGCTGCTATCCAGCATAGATACACTGTGGGGCCCCAAGATATATCTGCAGTTGAAAGGGTACATACCTGGGCCCGTAAACGACAGTGGTGTGATGTGGTGTGTGACTTGCTCACGTCAGAATATGTTCACCCAGAGATGACCAATTCGACCAATTGGACCAATGATCCATGAGAAAATCCCAGATTTACATAGATTTACTGGTTGGTGGTTGGAACCTTTTTCATTTTTCCCCAATAGTTGGGATGTTCCAATCTGACGACCTCCATCATTTTTCAGGGGGGTAGGGCGAAAAACCACCAAGCAGATTTACTGCTGAGTGGATCCCACATGGGGATCCCCGACCGGTGGCCCGGTGGACGTGGGTTTGAGGTGAAGCAGATGGTCATCACTGGACATTCTCTTGGGGGTCAATATGCACAGCCCTCAGACTGGCGGCCCTGGGCAGTGCCGACTGGTGCTGGGTTCTTTGAGTTTAACTGGGAAAACCATGGGAAAACCATGGGAAAATGGTGATTTATATAATAATTATGTCTGGTTGGTGGTTTGGAACATGGCTGGATTATGACTTTCCATTGCCATATGTGGGAATTTCATAACCCCAAGTGACGAAGTCCATCATTTTTCAGAGGGGTAGGTGGCTCAACCACCAACCAGGTTTTCTTTACGAAGAAGCCGACTGGGAATGGGACTTTTTGTGGATCTAACTTTGCTTCTGATTGCTTAAATCCAACTTGCTGGACTATGTTGGACTAGTCTAGCATAAAGTCGAACATGACCCCCTAAAACATATGCACAACATCTAAAACATAGTTTTGAAAGATGTGTTTCCTTCCAGAAATCAGAAAAGATCAGAACAAATCTAAAGAATCTCAAGTTATTATATGACAACATCATGAGTGTTTCGGTCCAACTAGATTGCAATTGCCCTGGCGCCGTCCATGGCCCATGAAAAATCTCAAGCAGCAAATCCTTCGCCTTTTCAGGCTTTAGCCTTCATGTTGCAGGCACGAAGAAGCTGGTGGTAGATGATGACAACTTACATAGTCACATAATGGCAACTGACATGGTTCATGTATAGGGATTAGCATGAAAGAAATATGGTTCATGTATGTTCATGTATGTTCATGTACTGTGAGGAGGAACTATGATTTTTCCACGAAAAATGGTTGAACAAACTGTCATGCAGAAATCGTCTTGCCGGTGCTATGTTCAAGTTTACGCCCACCATGATGCGACCTGGACAGAAGCGAAGAACCCTCGACACTCTCCACTCTCAAAATCGTATATATAACTTAGCCCCATGATATCTCCACAACCTTTAACTACTAGGGACTAGGCTGTCATTTTTATGGGTTTAACCTCCATAAGTTGTGTTTTTTTCTAAAACCCCTACGTAACTTTCGTAACTTTGGTGAGTTTTTCACCCGCAACACCGACGTTTCGCAACCGTCGCAGGTCTTTCTGGATGGCGTCAAAGGAACTTCACTCCATCCACTGCTGCAGGAGGCGATGATTGTCGTTGGGATAGCTACTTTGGAGAAGATACTCGATCATCTGTGTATATACAATATTATATAAATATAGATGTAATATATATATATATATATTATACTACATGTATATAACGTGTGTATACAATTCTAGAATTGATATGTGTGAGTTGATTTGGTATAGTACTGTGTATATATATATATATATATATACATATGTCTATCTAGTAGAATTATATATATGTACAGTATATGTGTGTGCGTGTGTGTGTGTGTGCGCTTCTTTGAAATGGTGTGTATCCGGGACAAGGAGTTTGTTTAACCGGGACCATGATCATCAACCACTGGACTTTTTTGGACAAATCCATTTTGTTGACCATTCTCAGCAGGAATCAGCATCCAATGTTTTCTTTTCCCATTGGGGGATACTATCCAGTAAACTAATATAGCTATGGAAAATGCACCATTTATAGATTAGCTATGCATACTATACAGTAGCTACTTTCCATAGCTATGGAGACGTCTACCAAAACAATGATGGTGATGTACCGCACACGAACATAGCATCCTGGGGATGTCTAAGTGAAACAACAACTGACCCAAGTATGCTGTAAACAAACAACCAAAACAAACAGCCCCACCACCTAGCTGCTGCGTAGCCATACTGTTCGACCATCAGTACAGTAAATGACAGGTGACACGCCCCTTTGGTAATCAAGCAATTCTACAAAATCTAATTTCAACCAATTGGACCTTCCAAAACAAATAAGACTACTTCCCAGGCAAGACAAACTCCAAAACCGTCAGTTTTCTTCCTCAAAGTTCCTCCCACCAGGCTAGATGTGCTGCTTTTGGTGCACCCATGTGTTACGGTGCAGCGGAGGCAGGACTTACTGGGAATGACAGCAAGAAATGGTGCCGATTTCATAGGAATTGAATGGGATCAGTGAAGTATTTTGATTGGGATGAATAGGGATTTACTTATGAGGTATTCACTGGGAGGTATTTTGATTTATGAGATCTACTGGGAGGAAGTTCACTTCTGGGCATGTCAGCAGCAACTGGCAACGTTCTGCCATGTTCCTGCTGTGACATTGCTGTGACATGGAACATACTGGTAAGACATGTGCTCCGGGCTTTAAAGTGTTGTATCATTTGCAGCGTCATGTCTTTAAAGCTGCTAGCTTAATTTCATGAGGAAGTGGTTGAGCTGAACAAAAATGCATTGCCTGTTGACAGCAAAATGGATGGGTCGTACCTATGACAAATGGTGATTTTCCATCACACACCGTTAAATAACCAGAGGGTAATTGGGGTTATAACCCACTTTCTACTGGGGATGCACCACCAAATTTCACGTGTTTGTCAAGTTCTCTCTACCCATTCTTGATTGGCTCCCCAATGGTGTTAAATGGTGTTGGGTTTGCAGGCTTTTAGACGATACTCCCTGATCTCAAACATTCAAAACACTCAAGCTTGGGTTTGGAAGATTATGTTGCTAAAGAGGACTCCTGCACTATGAAAGTTATGTTTCTTGGTTTTATAAATTCCAACTGCAGATATATAATTATCCCAACAGAATTCACAGTTATCCATATATATTGTGATTGGTCAGCGGATATCAACTCCAAATCACCAAGCGAAGCCTCTTCGCCCAACCTTCAAGCTCGTGCAGCGGCCTCGCTGCTTTTTCCACAAACGCTCCAAGTAGCCCCCAAGCTACTAACGGCCGTCCACGGCCAATGCCAGTTCTATGGCGTCAAGGCTTTTCCCACCCGCCTCTCTTCCTGAAAAACAAGTGGCTTCCTGAGCCACGTGCCTGCATGAGACAGCCCCTTTTGGTTACCTGAACGTGCATGGCATGGTGCAACAAGTGAAAATGGCCAAGGACACTGGTGGGAAATGAGCATGATTCACACTCCCAAAACTTCAAAGTTTTGTGCTTTTAGCTCATTTCCTCAGTAGTGGTTTTCAACCAACGGATTCGATTTCGAGTGGTGGCACGTTCCTTCAACACTTGCTCAATGTCGTGAAGACAATATGAACCATGTTTGAGGGTTGAACGCAGGAACGTGGCTTCCATGGTCTTGGTAAGTGCATCCGCAAGTTGGGCCCCACTGTGAACCCAGTGCAGTTGGATACCTTCATCAAGTATGTCTTTGATGGCTCTGGCTTGCAGTTGGGTCCGGTATTCTTGGCAATTTGGAACCGCTGTTCGTGTGGTGAGATCAAACAAGCTTTTACAGTCTGTTATGGCTAGATCCTTCTCATCAACTTTCATAGTGGGAACCGTTAAGGCCTCAGGGAGATTTGAAACTTCGCTAGGGTTTTGCCATCTGATACTTTGATCGAAGATCCAGGCCCAGTACAAACGAAGCCAGGTTAACTGGTCTAAGGTTGTAGACAAAGCCGATGTCTCTGCTGATAAAGTGCTTGTGACAACCCTCTGAATTTTCTTTGATCCCCATGAAATGGGACTGATGGGACAAGCTTTGTTTTGGGATATATCCTTATGGGTAGCCAAGATTATCATCCCCGCATGTGATTCAGGTTTCACCTTCGATGCAAAGGAAGCGTCCGAAAAGGCAAGAAATCTCAGGTCATTTGGTTTGATGGGTTGTATTTTTATGGTGACATCATGATGTTTCTTGGCAATGTGAAGGGCTTTATTGGCTGCAATTAAGGTGGAAACGGTGGCCTTGTTAATGTCTGATTGAAGAAAGCTCAAGGAACTTGCCAAATCCGGTCGAGTGTGGACCGCAGCATACTGCAACGAGCCGATCAGGCCACGCAGGAGATGTCGTTCAGTGTCGGTCACAGGTGCATTCTCGTCAGCTTTTCTTTCTGTGGTGAGTGAAATGGGATTGATATTTCTTACATATTTTGATTGGGAAAGTTCAATGCTGTTATCCGTATTTTGGTGAAGGTCAATGCCAGTGAAAGTGAAAGTGTTTGACTTCTTTGATCCGAATGGGTACTTTTGTTCAAGTTTGGATATCTGTTGATGGAAAAATTCATCACCTCCATGTATGCCATCATCGACATGTATCCCAAGCACTCCTGAGAGTCTTTGAGTCTCTGGATTCTTCAGCAAGAAAACGCACGGGTCAAATGGAGATGCAATGAACCCCAGGGACAGCAGTTCATCATGTAGGGTCTTGAACCACAAGAATGGTGCATCGATAAGTCCATACGCAGACTTGTCAAGCTTGCATATTTCGTCCTTCGAAAGGTTCATGGCTTTTGCAAGTTCAGCTACTGGTTCCAGACCAATGGTTCGGTCTTTTTGCGGTCTGCCCTGCAAAAATGCTGCCTTTATATCGAAGGATCCAAGGTTCCAGCCCATGGACGCTATCAGCTGAAGGATCAACATTTTTGATTGTCGACCCAACGTGGGACTGTCCCTTGGTACCTCAGTGAGCTTTGGATCCATATACCCTAACACCACCAAACGTGCCTTGGGCTTGTGAGTGGCCAGCTTTGAATTGCCTGCGCAGTTACCTGATTGACCATCCAAAGGCTTCCATACTAATATCCAACGGCATCTCGAAATTTGTTCAGGTGCAAGTTTATGTCTGAGGATTTTGCATACTGTTCCAGTCTTCAACCAATTATTCACCTCAGCTTCTTTGGCATGTTGAAACGCTCGTTGTTCTTCAGCTGTTAGCATGGACAGTTTTACCTCTGTGCGTTGTTTCTTTTCGGTGGTGGCCAGAAGGATGTCATCTGGTGACCAGGATTCGAGGTCTTTGGAGCACAAGGCATTCGGGAGTTCCAGTTCACAGCGCCACGCACAGGGGTCCTCAATTGGATCCACAACCATGACTTCATCTTCAACACATAGGAGGTGTGTTGTTACCAATTCATCCCCTTCCTCAAGTTCTGGAATTGGAGTGTTTATTGCAGGGTTATTGACTTCCTGGAAACTCTGTGAATTTGGTGTGGTAATAACTTCAGGTTCATCATCTGGTTGTTCTTGAGATTGGCTGGCATTATCGGATTGCAAATTAGTGAGGGGATTATTTGGATTGGGATTATTCACATGACTTGGATTGGTTATCTCTTGAGGATTATCATCGTCTTGAAATTGGTTGGTGATTCTTTGCAGGGTGTTCGAAAGTGGACTATTGGAAGGGATGTTGTCGGATTGGTCACTGCTGGGTATCTGGCGAGCTTCATGTGAACAAACTGGTCGGATGTGTTCAGGTGCCCTTCTATGGAGTTTTCCCCCTTGTGTGGCCCATACTGAGTGCTGGTCTTCTTGAGTGATCACTTTAAGTGGTCCGAACCAATGTCCACCTTTCGGATTTGGTTGCCACATCATGACCCATTCTCCAGCTTCATAGGCGTCTCGCTTGGGACGAGACCGTCTCAGGCATGCACGTCGGAGTGCCATGTCATTGTCTGCCTGGTGAAAGGCCGTGCGAGCTTTCTCACGCAATGCCAAACTCCTCCTGAAAGCAATGCCTGTAGCATCTTCGCGGTCTGCACTTGTCAAAGAGGAAAATCCTTCAGAACTGCATAGGGATCCAGGTAGTTTTGAGCATTTTCCAAACACTAGTGTTTCTGGGGAGTACCCTCTACGAATACTCAAAGTGTTTTTCGCGTTGGTACATTGCAACAGGGCTTGTAGCAAGTCTTCATAGGTCTCTACTGGATACTCAAGATCTACTTTGGATAACATGTGCTGAAGGATGTCGCCATGGCGTTCACACCGGCCATTCTGCCAGTGGGCATACGGTGCAGTGGTCACGGGCTTTATGTCGTGACGTTGAAGAAAATTCTGAAAGGCTTCACTGAGAAATTCCGTTGCAGAGTCTGTTGCTATCATGTTCGGTGCCCCTGCCCACATGAGCCATGCCTCGGACAAACACCTGATGGCATTTTCGGTGGTTCTGCTCGGTGCTGGAACTGCCACATGGTAATTGGTTGCCTGATCAATGATGTGGTAAAAATGAAAGTTTCTCCCTGACTTGTTTGTCCAAGTGATTCCATCTACAAAGATTTTATCGTTGAAGTCCAATTCATGTTTTACCGTGCTTGGTCGGGCAATCTTTGGTTTCTTCATGGTGGCACATACCGGGCATGACAAGTCAAACACTGCCTGCTGGAGTTCAGTTCGAGCTCCCTGCTGTCGCAAAAGTGCACTGAATTGTTCTGGGCTCGGGTGGCAGAGATTCTGATGGGCTCGCTTGATCATTGCCTGTTCTTCCTTCGGCAAGGCCATGAATCTTGGACCATGTACTGCTGATGTTGGTGTCTCTTGCGAGATTTGGGAAACTGCTGGATCCCTTTTGATTATTTCATCACTTTCTTCAGAGGATGGTGCAACCAACGGATTACTCTCGGGTTCCTGCGTCTCCTGCTTTTCCTGGGTTGCTGGAACAGTTTCGGAAGAGACACCTGCATCTAGCCGAGATGCTTCAGCCTGTACATTTGGATCGCTCTTTGGCGGCATCGATGGAGCTGCTGTGGTGATGGGATTGGCTGCAAAGACAGTTATATTGACCCGACAGGGCAGTGACTTGCGCACGATTTTCCTTTGGGACAACGTGTCATGCTTCTCCCATTCTGGCTCCATTCTGATACTGCCATTGCTTCTAAGTTTCATGATGGCTCGCCGAAAAGGTGCTTCCCTTTTGTTGAGACCTTCAGGTGGGGCCAAGGTACGTTCCGTTCCCTTACATGCAACAATACACTTGATTATCTTTTCAGGAAACATCTCTTGCATGGCTTGCTTGATGTCGGGCTGATCAAAAACTTTACGACCTACTCTGGGAAGTAGTTTTTCTATCTTCTGCATGATTTCATGTACTTGATCAGGTGGTTCCTGACATGCTTCGGTGTTTGACGACGTGTCTTTATCTTCACCCATGGTCTTGG